AGCACTTGATGGACTTCGTGGGTAGCTGGGATTTCAGCTGCTCAGACTGCATGTCGGGAGGCATCTGGCCTGGAGTGCTTCTTCTGGGAACGTGATTTTGGATGAACAGGAGTGACGCTTCTCAGAGACGTTTTACACAAATAACTCTTGCTGCAAACCATTATTTTGGAGTAAATGAAAACCAGTAAAAATGCTGCTAAGCTAGTGCTGGCTTCTGTTTTAATTTTATGCAACATTTTTCTTCCTTTTCTAAAAGCGGGATGAAACGAAGCTGCAGTTGATGAAAGTAGTAGAATCTCAATTCCCAAAGCAGTTGCTGCTGCCTTTTCTTGGAAGTGCTTATTAAATAAATCCTTGAGTAAAATTATTCAAATTATGTCTGTTAAAGAAACTCACTTTTTAAGCATCTTTAAGTTTTGAAGTGCTGCATAAACCATGATTTTTATCTTTAATAACCTCTGCGTGTTCATGGCTTCATTTTCTTGCCGCATGGACAATTTGATGAGTGGTCTGCTCAGTGGTAAGCAATCCTGCTGCCATTAAAATCCTTTTATAAGCAGCTCAGTATCATTGCCCCATTTGTCCCATTCAGCATTCATAGGCAGAGCTTACCAGTTAAAAAAAAAAAAAAGCATATGTTCTCTTTAATCTTGTCCTGTCTCATTATGTCTTGTGATTCTGACTGGTATTTCTCATCTGTTTTCAGATTGATGTTTCCTGCCTGTTGAAGTGCTCATGACCTCAATAGTCTTGTTAGCAATTCTGCTAGAGTTGCGTGCTCTTTGCTTATTTCTCTTAATAACCTTTTTTTCATGGCACTTCCAGTAGGCAGGTGAACATCTGAGTCAGTAGCAATCCCCTGCTAATAGACGTTTTTGTCACACAACACGGCTGCCAAGCAAATAACTTCTATTGGATTTATTCCTTGCTTGGCTACTGTCTTGGGCTTGTGGAAAGCTGTGAATGGATGCTGAAAGCATGCTTCGTGCTGCATTGGTATTCTTAATAGACTGGTCATGCTGTACTGTATCTTTGACCCTTGGATGATTTTGTAACTGTTTATTTTGTTTCTTTTAAATTAGTCAGCATTTTTGGAAAGTTCTTCTGTAGGGCTTTTTAGGTTATCTCCACAGTGTTTGCTTTTCCAATTCCTTGAATTAACTTCTAAATGCAGTGGAACAGTGGCAGAAAAGTTTATTGTGCGGAACTTAACATCAGTGCCAGAGATTATTCTGGTTTGTGAAGTCGTGACTCTATTCAAGTTGCATTGCTTTGGGGTTATATCTGTTCTATTTGTTGTGAAGTGGAATTCACTCATTCCACAGACTTCAAACTTTTTTCAGTGACATGAAGCATTTAAATGTCCTGAACAGGTGGATGGGTCTTCACCAGCTCCTCCTTAAGTTTCATTAAACATCATTCCTAAATTTACCTTGTATTTGAGGAACTGGTTCTTCTCACAGTTTTAGGTAAGATTTTGAGTTTCTCAGCTCTTCAAGTGTCCATTTTTTAAAGAAATTTGAAGTGCTGGAGGTGAAGTCTTCAAGAGTGACGCTTGATCGTTAAATGTCGGTCATGTTTTTTGTTCAACTTCTGTAGAAAAGATGTGCCCTTCTTAGAAGTGCTACAATATGGAAAAAGTTGAGTCATGAAGTCTTGTGAAATTTCAGCACTGTAACTTAAAGTACCTTAGCTCTTTTCAAGTTTAAAACAAGTATTTTTAAGACTTTTGCTTAAGTTAGACTAGTCCATAATTGCTAGTAGGTGCCAGGTGCTAAGGACAGGAAAGGATGTTTCTCTGTGTTAGATGTAGGTAGGTCGTAATATTGATTATTGTTTTTTAAATTTTTACAAGTCAGGTACATCATGTCACGCTGTTATTTATTCATCTTTACACATCTGAAGTGATTTAGAAGTAAAGTTATTCAGAAAATCACTGTAGAAGGTTAGGCATTTGCTTTCTCCTTCCCCTCTCTAGTGCTGTTGACAGACGTTACGATACTTGAGGCAGGAGCATTATTTAAAAGTAGTATTTAAAAACACCACAAAAGCCTCATCTGACTTAAGGAAGCTTTTTCTGTTCCTCCATCTGTTCGCCTGGAGTTCTTCCTTCTCCTCTTTATTATATATGATTTTAGTCAAAGGTTCTTTTTCCTGGGATTTGTGCTCTTGAAAGGTTTCTGGGGTTGTGTCCACTGGCTTTTTTTCTCTTGAGAGGAAATGTACATGTTCTTCATCCTGAAGAGAGATTAAAGTTCACTCAGAAAACTTGTCTTCCCAGACTGACTGCGCAACTGCTTTGAAACGAGAATATCAGCCTTATGAGCGGTGAAAATACAATCACCAGATCAAATTGAAGTCACTTGGAGGAAGTAGTGTGCTCGTTAAAATGGTGAAAGAGGAGAGGCATCAGAAACCATGAATCTTTTTGCACGCAATCTTCTTTGGCTGGCAGTTCAGAAGGCAGCTAGTTAACAAAGCTTGTGTGATGGCAGGTGATTTGGTGAGAAGCTGGATGTCACTAATTAAGCTGTTAAATCGTGGGTATTTTAGTTCCCTTCATAATGGTTAGAAAAAAATGTAAAACAGGGGAACTTAGGCTTCCCGAAAGCAACAGTCTTAACAGCATTGGATCGTATGAGAAGAAGTAAGTGGAAGCAACCAGTTTAATTTAAATTATTTTGCATTGGATTCAAAAGTGAGAAAAGAGGATTTTCTTTTTATTCTTGGAAAGGATTCAAGTTGAACACAAGCACAGGGCTGGAAGCTTGTTTAGCTTGATGTGAGAATCTCAAGAAGACAAAACAGTATCGCACGTACAGTTTCTCTGACTTTCACAATTTGGAGTAGGAATTTATTTTGATTGATGTAGAATTTAGGACTCAGCATTTTCCTTTACTTGATTTTTTTGAAGTGGTTTAGCAAGAACAGGGTGAAAGAGGGTAAAACTTGTGTATTTGAAGAGCAGTATCTGGGGACAAAGATGTATTTAAGTAACACTGAGCTAATTTTGAATTTGGCAGATTAAAAGTACTGTATAAATATTTCAAAAGGAAGTAATTGCTTTCGAAGACACTGTTGCTGTGCTTGCAAAATATTTTTGCCTGATGCACCCAGTTTTGCGCTCAGACTGCGCAGAGCACCTGAATTCTGATCCTGTCCTTTTCTGGGTCTTTTAAATAGCTCAGTTGGGTTTCCTCTTTTTGGACTGTGGCTCTCCTGTATCCAGCCATGAGTGTGAAAGGAAGAAAGCACTGTACTCTTCATCTTTGCACTGAACTCAGTGCAACTGTCTGCGAATAAGATCTGTTACAGCTAAACTGAGATGATGTGGGCTAGAAAGGCCGTATTAATGTAGGAGGTCACAAAGAGTGTGTCAAGCGTTTCGTTGATTTTGAAGGCAGCTTAATAGAATTGGTCTGTTGTGCCATGGGAAAGCTATCCCACTTGTTGATTCAGACTGAAAATCTGAAATCAAATCCCTTGGTTGGTTTGTTGTTTTTTTTTTTCCCTTTTGATGTCTGAGTATTTTAATGAATCTAATGTGACATCCAGGGCAGGCTGCCCCAAACACTCAGCTTTCCCAAAGCTCATGAAGACTGTCTTGGTAAAATGGCATGTGTGTGTATGTATAAGCAAACTCGGAATCTTGCCGAATCTTGGTTTTGTGAGAATTGTCATTTGTTCTTCAGGAATAATGTCTTCAGGCTAGGATATGTTAAGCAGAAGGATTAAACTGAAAAACAAGCTTTTGGCGTTAATCCAGGATTGATTTAGCATAGTTGGGGAAGAATATTCTGGAGAAGGAACAGTAATGATGCAGTCCTTGGGTTCTGCATTTTAATAAGACAAGAGATGACAGTCTTCTGCAGTTTTACTGCACTTACTGCTGGAATTCCAGGATTCTTTTCAAGAGCAACTGTTGCTTCATCTGTCAACATTCATCATGGGGAAATAGCAAGCGTGGTGTGTGAGGTGGGGATGAAGAAGCATCTGTGTTAAATAATGAGTAAAAATTCATACAAAGCACCTTCAGGTAGCAGGGCGTGAATATGAAAATCTGCGCTCGCAAAGCTGTGACAGCCAACAGGTCAGACTTCATGTAAATTTGTGACAAGAATTAGTAGAAACTCGGGTGACATAAACTGCACTCCTCTGCCACTTAGCAGAAATGTCTCAAAGAGCACCCAAAGACCCAAAGGTTTCTACACAGAAACCATTACTGTGCTACTGAAACCTGCCTCTTGCAGGCAGCTCAGCACAGCAGGAACCCTGTTGCTGTTCTGAGCAGGCAAAAGCTGTTCTGCCTGCAGGAGCGTTCAGAGGCACCTCTGCCACCACTTAGAGGAGGGGGGTTCTTCGTGTCCTTTCCCCCAACACAAACTCTTTGAGTAATTATCATTTCCAGCTTGGAGAAGAAGAGTCTTAATGACCTCTCTGCTGCATTTGGGAAAAAAAGTGCAGGCAAGTGACTTCAGGGCAGTATAAATCCCTGTTCAGAAAGCGATTCATTCACAGGTGCTCATAGCTGGCAGAAGAGATCCTTATTCTCAGGGCAGTTCCTCTGAAGGTCTTTTCCCCCATGAACTTCAACAGTCCCTTGTCATTTTAGATGATTTCAACATGCTGTTTGCAGCATAGATCTTATTCCTTCTAGGTGATACATTAGTGAAATAGTCTGTTAGTAGAGCAGTAAGAATAGTTTGTGAGAAATGATTTTGTGTAGCAGAAAAAAGAGATCATGAGAAGAGCGCAATAGCTGAAGCTGACCGTACCGACCTACACAGTGGACATTCCCACTGTTCATAAAAAGTCCAAAAGTGTGGTTATTAGTTGCACATCGAGTACCATAGTACTCATTTTTACAGAGAGCTTAATTTGTTGTTTATTTAGAAGTTTGGAAATTCTCAGATTGTCTAAATAACCATTAGTCTTGCTTAATGTTTTCCCTGCTGTTTCACACACTTTTTTTTTTTTTTTTTTTTTTCATTTCCAGGCCCAAAATGTTCAACACAGCAAGGACATGACTCTTGCCAGCAACCGCAGTCTGGCAGAAGGCAATCTTTTGTACCAGCCAAAGTTGGAGTCTTTGAAATCAAATTTGACTGAAAAATACCGAGAGCTGCAAGTTCTTTTTGAAGCATACCAGATAAAGAAAACAAAACTAGGTAACGTTTTCTGTTGCCAGTTATGATTTACTGCGTTCTAAGTGAATGTAAATCTGTGGCATGGTTTTTGTTTGGTTTTTGGTGTCACAGTTTCAGCTGTGTGAATTAGGGTACAAAATGAAATGTCATTCTTGTGTATTTCTGAAATAGATCATGCTTCTAATGATTTATTAAGTATCTGTTACATCTAGTAACAGATACTATGGATTCTTTCTGTTATTGTGTGGTTACCTTCCTATTGTTGACCTGCTCTTCCCTAAATGATCAAATCCATTTGCCTTGCTAAAAAGTAAAATGTAATTTGAATTTTCGGTGATTAATCATAAATCAAATGGAATATTGCATTTAACTTTCTCATTTCGTACTGAACTGTGCAGCACTGTACATCTGATACTGCACTTGCTGAAGTGCTTTGTCTTTCAGTATTATAAATACGTCATTGTAATTAAATTTCAGCTTTTAGTACTGTGACAGTATTCCTAAACTACTTAATATATTTTCTTACTGTAGATCATCCTGTCTGGAGCAATGAAGTGTGCTCATTGTACATACATGCCTTAGAAATTGTTATGGTTGCTGAGGCTGTATAGCTGCAGTTAGAAGTCACTTAGAGCCAGCTGTCACTTACTGTTCCTTTTGTGCCATTACAGACAGACAGTCCAGTAATGCTTCACTGGAGACACTGCTGGCGCTGCTTCAGACAGAGGGGGCTAAGATCGAGGAAGACACAGAGGTAATGACAAAACATTTCAATTCTGCCATTTGTACCCATTTCCAAAGACTTGAGTGTCCACGGCTGCAGTGCGGAGTTGAACGTGTCATGGACGAAAGGGATATGTTTAAGACTATGGTCTGGTCTTTGCTTTGGACTTCAATGAACAGCCATTTGGTTTCAGCAAGAATTTTTTTTTATCTGGGCAATTTTTACTCATAACATCTTTGAAGTTTAAGAGAGAAAACACTCCTTTTCGGAAAAGAAAGTCAAACCCTCTTAGTTCCTTGGCATTGCCTTCAAACTCATGGCCTATAAATGGGGAATTGTATTTTTTTTTTTATGGTGTTTGCCTGGTGTATGTATTAATCCATTACAAATGCCAGTTAGTAATCTCATGAAAAATTGTGCCTGCACTGGTTTTTTCCAGCATTTCTGGTGAAATATTCCATGGTGATTTCAACGTATCTGTCTGGGTGCCAGTGGTCACCCCTCGCTGTGATACACGTGCTTGAAGGGTGGTCTGTTTTCAGAATGATGGAAGTGTTTGGTTTGGTTTACTGATATACCTGTAGGACATTTTCTATAACTGTATCGGGGAGAAAAAAAATCTGCTTATTGACCTTAGGATATGAGCAAAGGACAAGTTGAATTATGTGATTATATGCACAGTCACCGTTCTTAATTATTAAAAGTCACTTACCCAAAGCCACAAGCAAGTGTGAGTATTAAACCTGGCTTAGCAATAATCTGCCTCTCTCTACTGAGTCTTCCAGAGTTCTCGGTGTTTCTGTTGGCCTTGCAAGCAGTACTGAGCTGTAATTCAGCTTAGCTGGCAATCTTGAAAGCTGTTGAACTTGGTTTCTTCCCACCTCTGATGATCAGGGGAATGTTCAGAGCTACGTTCAGATGTTCTTACTGCTGTTGCTTCAGTATAAATTTAAGCAAAAATGATATTTAACTCCCAGTGCTTCTGAGTAATAACTAACTCAAAATTCTGCTCAGAATTCTTAGTATGCCAGTCGTCTTCCATATGCAAGCTGGAAAATCACAGGCAAAATTATGCTATTTTTAGGATATAAGCCATTTAGATTCTCTTACAGTATGCTGTTTTCTAAGAGATTGTTCTGTATTTGACAGAATATGGCAGAGAAATTTCTTGATGGTGAAATACCACTGGATTCCTTCATTGATGAGTACCAGAGCAAGCGCAAACTGGCTCACCTGCGACGTGTAAAAATTGAGAAGCTCCAAGAAATGGTGCTGAAGGGACAGAGACTTCCACAGGTTCAGCCACAGGCTCAGCTGAGAGCGCCTGAGACAACACCAGCACCTCAAGATTCCTACACTTCGGATGCAAACACTCCTCCTTCAGTTGTGCCCCGACGAATACCACCCCCTCCACCTTCTTCAGTCCCAGCAGGACGCTTTCCTACGCCGTTTACTGCAGCCATGAGTGCAGGACCAGCTCTTTCTTATCCAGGTGCTCCGTATCCTCCTCTCCCCCCTCGACCAGGAGTTCAGTCTGCAAGTCAAATGCCACAGCCAGGATACCCATCCCAGTTTGTACCACAGTATCCTCCAGCTCTTCCCCAAAGACCACCTCGCCTTCCGCCACATCCTGGTTTTATCCTGCAGTGAATATTTTGGTGCGCCTCACTTATGTATTGGTGCTCATATTTCCCGTTTCTCCCCATCAGAGACTTAACGTAGGCAATGGAAAGCCTCTGGTTTTTGCACAAAGGAATACAAAATTCGAGCTGTGGCACAGAGGTTTGCAATTGCTTTTGGTAAATGTGATTCTTCTTGTTTTCAAATATCAGTGGCGACAAGGTTTTTCTAGGAAGGTGATAGGGTCTAAATTTTGTAGATCCCATCAAATTGTTGAACAACATACAGTGGGTTTCCTGACATTACAAATCGAATCACTCTCTGAATTCTTTAGTGATGATAAACCAGCATCCCCTTCTGTTCCGATGTACCCCCATCGCAGCTGGATGTATGTGGGGCAAACTGGGAGCTGTTTGTCCCTCTAAAGAATTCTCTGTCGGTGCTGGTGTTTGGGTAGTAACAACCATATCTGAGTAGGGGGTAAAGGGCTGCAAAGGGCCGCATCAGCATCCTTTGCAGCGTGCCCAGACAACGGCATTCATGGCCAGGTGCACAACGCTTTCAGAGCTCGCTGAGCTGAAACTCTCGTCAGAAAATGTTGTATGGTTTTTAGACAGTAAAAGTGAACAAGAGTTTCATTTCTACATTTCAGTTCTTACCTTAGACTTTTCATAATGAAAGTACACACTCCCCCCGCTCCTAAATAGCTTGATATCCTGAAAGAAGTCCTGGTCTCTTGAAATTAAACTAAACTGTATAGCCAGTTTAGACTTTTATAGAAATTTTACTGGGCATTTTTATTTCCTTGCCTATAAAGACTTTCTTACGTTTTTTTTTTCTTTTCCAAACTTTGGATAAAGAAGTGATTTTTTTTTTTTTTACACAGGTGCTTAGCTTCTGATATCATGTGATGCCAGGAATCTAGACAGGGTAATTTCTTAATCAAAGGCTGGGTTTTCACATCATGTCATTGCCCACTTGAAGCTCCACAATTTCATTTTATCCCTCAAACTCAGCCTCTCGCTTGGCAGAACTATTTTTAACTTTCCGATTTCCTTTAGTTCTGCCGGTTTTGGCATGTGTATCTACCTGGAATTTGCAGTTAACGTTTCTCAGCAAGCAGATGAAACAGAAAAGCTTTTTCAACTCCGTGGTGGCTGTTTGCATCTTACATAATCCATTCTTGACTTCTTATGCCACTGGAGGGGGGGAGGCTTTTTAGGGGAGCTCAGATTGCGCTCTCAATGTGACTCTTGAAGCCTGAGGTGCAGGCACACGCCGGTGTTTTAATTAGCATTGGCGGAGGCAGATCTTAACGCTTGTTGCTTGTGCCGAATGTGGCCATAAATTCATGACCAGTTTCGCACATCCACAAACAGCTTTCAGAATAATTTATGGTAATTTAAGAAACTCACAGTCCAGAATCTGTCATAGCCCCTGCATTATTTCAAAACATTTTCATACCGTTGTCCTGGAATGCACTACATTGTTTGGAGTCTGTACTACAAACAGCATCAGTCAAAATAGAATCTCTGGGGTTTTTTTCTTTACGTAAGGCCCTTGCCTGTCCCTTAATCATTTCCTCTGGAGTGTGGTGGTTGCTAGCAAATACTAATCTGAAATTCAGCTCATAACAGGAAGCACTCTATTCTGAAAATACGATTATTTGGCTTGTTTTGCCTTCCGAAGACAAAGGGCAGAAGGTTGGTCAGTGTTACTGACATCTGAACCAATTCCCCAGTGTAAATCTGGAAAGTTTCCATAGATGGGGGATTTTGTGAAGCAACGTGCATTGGAATTGTTTGCAAAGTGTGTTTTTTCTGTAATCTAGTGATGGTACAGGATGTGTTTTTTTTAAAAATAGTGTAATATGTTTTCTTGGTATTATTTTCTCACTGAAGCTTTGTATAAGCGTGGTTAATTATGACTCGTTTCAAAGTAATTTTGCTGTGCTATTAGTGCTGGTATTTGGATGGCAACTGTTGTATCTGAATGCTAAACATAAGTCTGCTGTAGAAATGATTTGTGTCCTAGAAAGAATTAAAGTGGGTAGGGGCTACCAAGGTGGTGACTGAGTACAGAGATTTGTACTTTGAGCCTGCTACACAAACTCAAACACTCTCAAAATTAGTTTTGGTAACATTTAATAAAAACAGCCAGGTATATTTTACACTTGTCAAGTGCCAACTTTTTTTCCGAGGGCTGAAAATCCTCAGAAGTTACGGAGGTGATAAGTGTATTGTGAATTTGCACTGCATTTTATGTATCTAACTTTATTGGTATTAGTAGTCCAAAAATATTTTTACTACTTGTTAAATTTTCTGTCTTTTGGTAACTTTTGTGATAACACGACCTTTCAGGGATACTTTATCTAGAAACAAACTCTTGTGCAAGCTAAATGCAGACAAAGCTAATGCAATTTTTCTGTCTGAAAGCAAAACGATGCATTATTGCATATGCACGTGGCTGATGTGCCTTAGGATCACTACTTGTGATTGTAATACTAGGATATTAGCGTTTTTATCATTTGAATGGCCATTGCTTAACTAATCTAAGGGCTCTTCAAGAGCACTTTCTTTTACAAAAAACTCACCCTCATACTTAGAAAAAACAAAGGCTGTATCTGCTATTTGTAAGCTTATAGTTGCCTTCACTGATGGATAAGTTTGGATAATGTAACTAATGTGATGTTTCAGTCTCAACTGAAATCCAGCTGCTCATGGAAAACGTTTTGCCATTAATTGTGTGTGTGTGTGCGCACAAACTGTAAATATATACTTGACTGCTGGTAATGTTTAAAGGAGAAAGATGACTGTGGAAAGCTGTTTAAATCCTTTCAGAAACAAACATTACAAAACACTAACCTGAACGAGTCGGGCGAAAGATGTGTCGGTGCTTTTGGCCGGTTGCCCTTTGACAGCTTCTCCTGTAAGAGCAAATAAATAGATTCTGCTATGGCTAGGATGTTTAGAATCGTACTAATTTGCACTGTTTATAAGATAGTGAGATTAAAATGCCATAGGCAAGCTGAGAGGAGGTGGCTCGGCATGCTTGCCAAAATATATATATATTATAATGTTGTTTTTGATGTCTGCTGCAAATAGCATATACTTCCCCAAAGCAATTGGAGTGGAGAAAAACCGTTTAAATATGGTGTGTAACACGGCTTTAGAGTGTTGGTAGCGTTGAAAATGCTCTCTTTGGATGGCGTTAACTTTTTGCCAGTTCTTTGTACGCGGTTTTGTAAGTTATGACGAATTCGGTTGTACGTGACTGGGGTGTTTGATCGGGGATCGGCACTGAACGGTGCAAACTCAAGGGCGAGTTTCGCCGCGCTTCAGTGCTGTCTCCCAGAGGAAGCGGAGTCAGTTGTTCTAGCACAGCTGGTCCATACAGGTCACCTTTGTACCAGTGGCCCTGGAGGGACTCTACAGAAAATGAGCTTTCATGTGATGTCAGGAGGCAGAGCCCTGGGCACAGTCCGGTCGCGGGTAACTGTTATGTTTAGCTCCCCGACTTCCATAACCTCAGTCTCGACCTCTTTTGGGACTTCTTTGCCTTCTCCAACTGGAATAATGATGTAGATACAGAGCGCAAATCGACAATTCCTTTAGCCCGAATATAGAGCTACTTGGCAAACACTGAGTTCAGAGGAGGTAGAGTCGTCCTGCACCCGAACAGTTCCTCTGTGCGATCCTGGACAGTCTTAATAAAGGGGCAGTTTTATATGCCTAGCAAGTTGTGAAACGTACAGTGGATTTGTTTGCATAATAAGTCTTTCTGTAATCTACTGTGGTCTGATTTAAAATAAAATAGCATATCTCTCTTGGTGTCATGTTCCTGTTGTGGCTTCATTTAATCACAGCAGAGTTACGTTAACGTTTTTCAATAGTAATGATGGTTTTTATGTAGCAACATAAAAACAGCTGTAGGTGAACGCAGAACGTAAATTTGCAAGAAAATAATTTTCATTATTCATAATAAATCTGTTGGCTGTGTTTTTAGTGACCGGATATAGCGAGTCCATTTTATATGTAGCTGAAACAGGACGGGTATGCTCAGAGTAGATTCTGCACATTGTAATCAAGGCAACGAGGCAGGTGGGCTGTCTTGCCAGGTAGAATCCCTTTGCTTTTTGTTTTAGTTTCCTACAATTAGCTGGAATAGTGGAAGTGTTCAGAATCTTCACCAGGAAAAGCTGAAGGAAGGGGGCAAGCCGCTTGTTAAAAGAGGAAAAACTTAAGGCTTCAGCCAAGACAAGTCAGGAGAAATGAGTCAACCAAAGTTATTTAGGAATATGAGTCAGAGGGCAGAAAAGACCTGATGTAATTTTCTGTGACATCCGTTGCTTCAATAGCAATGTGAAACAGAAGTCCTACTGCAGAACAACTGATAGTATGTGGAAGAAAATCCCTTTTTCAATTGTTCCTTGATACGTTCCCTTTGTGGTGGCTATGGAGATTCGATAACCTTCTGCTGATGCAGAAATAGGAGCTCGCAGCTGAGGCAAGCTGACTCAGTGCGGGTGGGCGAGGGAAGGGGATGGTGTTATGTAAAAGCTGCAGTTCTTTAACTTGGCTCTTCGCAGAATTCCCAGCAACGCCCGTGTTTCGCAGCTTGAAGACGGTGTGGGCAAAACTTCAAGCAGTGCCGGCTCAGACTCTGGCTCGGATGGCCCTTCCCCAGGGCTCACGTGTGCCAGGAGACTGGTCTGGGTGGGATTGTTGCCTGTGCGAAGGAGAGGTAACCCAGTACGGCCAGACCTTGCCGGGTAGGGGGGCTCATGTCAGTTGTGTGATGGCTACCAAAAAAAAAAGCAAAGTAGTGCAAAAATGGCAAGTGTGGTGTTAGTGACACACTGGCAGTGTTTCACGTGGTCTTGACTTGTCCCTTCGCCTTGGAAGCTGCCTTTGGAGGCTGCGCAAGCCTGCGCTGATCCTTCAGGAGCGCTTGCTCCTGTAACTTGAGTGCTCTTGTGGTTCATCGACCCTGATGCAAGTCTGTTACAGGTATGTCTGTTCACCTCTCTGAGACTTTGTCACTAGAAACAAGGCACATGTTGCTTTGAGTTCTTTTGAGAGATTTTTGTCTCAACTGGAGTTTTAGAGAAGCCTTGTTGGGAGACTGGTGCCCCAGCCAACACCTCGTCCCTGAAGCAGGCTGTCCC